TCTATTCTATTCTATTCTATTCTATTCTATTCTATTCTATTCTATTCCTATTCTTATTCTACTCTACATTCATTATCCTTTCCTGCCTACCTGCCTCTTTCTTTTTTCTTTCTATTTTCCTTCTTTCCTTCCTTTCTTTCTCATTCTCTTTCTATCTTTTTTCTTCTTTTCTTTTCTTTCTTCTGTCGTTAACTGGCTTCCCCATTGACTTTGCTTGTCAGGAGGTTGCAAAAAGCGACACTGCAGCCATCTTAAATACATGCCACTTGCCAACCTGCTGAATTTCAATCATGTGACCACAGGGATGCTGCAATGGTTGTAAGTGTGAAAAATAGTCATAGGTCACTTTTTTTCAGTGCTGTTGTAACTTTGAATGAATGGTTATAAGTCGAGGACTTCCTGTATTAATGGAAAAAGTCTGTTCTAAGACTGAGCTAATTGATGTTTGGGAGTTTTGAGGAATACCTTTGAAAATATATTGTTGTTGTTTTTTTAATGGCTCTTTCTTCTTTTTCTGTCTTTCCCTTGTTCAGTTGTGGTTGTGTTGAACAGCTCTGAATTAATTCGGGAGGCTTTGATGCGAAAATGGTCTGACTTCGCTGGACGACCTCATAACTTTCTGGGTAATGATTTCCCGGTTTGTTGATAATTCTGGTAATGAATTGAGATCAAATCGTGGCTTGAGAGCCGTTTTGTTAGTGAGAAGAAGGACTGTGTCGGCGTTCCAACTAACCAACTTCCAAACCAATAAACTCCGAGACAAACATTTCCTCAAAGTTCCATTTTATTAGAGTTGTCATATTGGCACATCTGGAAAAACCTGAATCTGAGAGTTCTGGGGTTTCCCTTCCCCCCAAAAAATCAAAGATCCCTCCCCTGCCTCCATCAGTCCATTACATGGTCCAGTCAAATCTTCATCCCAACTGGAGACATTCCTCCAGTCACTCGTCCCTCCAGTTGCAGGCCACATGCCCTTGACTCTCTGAGGAAAAATGTTATTGTGCCTAAAACTTCTACCTCACTATGAAATCTCCCCTCCCCAAATTCCCAGGCACTGAATGTGGCTGCCTCAAACCTTCCAAGTAAGAAAAAAAGGCCTCCAAGGCTGACACACTGCACATTGCACAGAAATAAGATTTGCTTGATTGGAGGAAAAAAAATTGCACTTTGCAGGGTTCATCCAAGCCATAAACTATGCTTACAAGCAACCATGGTTGGATTCACACCACATGGATACTCCTCAACATACAACAATAATTGAGATCTGAATTATGGCCGTAAGTCACATCAGTCATTAAATGGGTCGTGATGTGACCTTACCTCATTTTACCACCTTGTTTGCAGCAGTCATTAAGTGAAATCATTTTCTCCAAGAACTTCCACTTCAATAGGTGCTTTTTTGCTGGAAATTGGAAGTAAACGCCAGAAGCTGGCAAAAAAAAGTCAAAAATTGTAGTGACATAACTGTGGGCGCTGCAAAATAGCCGTAAAAAAATGCCAGTTTGATTTAGTGTTTAAGGCACCAGGCTAGAAAGTAAGGGGTGGTGAGATCAAGTCCTGCCTTAGTGATGAAAGACAACAGAGTGACTTGGACCAGGCACTTTCTCTCAATGCAACCCACCTCACAAGAATTGTTGTTGTGGGGAAAATAGGAGGAGGAAGATGGATGTGTTCACAGCTTGAGTTATTTGTGGAAAAATAATAAAGATGGGGTACAAATAAATAATAATAAATAAATGTCAGCCAGTTTCCAAGTGCCCAAAATGTGATCAAATGATTACGGGATATATATGTGAGTATGGTTGTTAGTATTGTGGTTCACCAACAGCCAGTGTAGACAGCAGTGGAATCGGACAGTGGAGAAGAAAGGGGACCAGGCAGGGAGTCTGGAGAGGACTCGAACGAGGGTCTTGCATCCAATGCAAGGATGGGGCCAGGACCATCTGGGAGTGGGGTGCTGCCTTTGGAGCCTTAGGAGTCTGGCAGCAGCGAGGCAGAGAACCCAAGGGAGCCTGTTCCCAGTGCGCGTATGCACAGAACTGCTAGAAGGCAAGAGCAGCTGAAACAGAAGGGGTGACTTGCGAGTAAGGCTGGGAGGTGATTGCCCCTCCCATAAGGGATAAAAGTCAGACATTAATGAGGAACACTTGAAGGAAGCAAAGTAGTTTGATTGGTTCCGAGTCAGCCTCAAGCTCTGTGTACTTTGGTTGGTTTTTTCTTGTACTTCGGTTGGTTTCTTTTATAGTTAATCTGGATACTTCTGTTTTTGGCAGCATTCCACAGAACTAGAAAGTGTGTGCTTATCTTGGGGGACTGTTTAAGATTAGTTTTGGCTGGGAATGGAAACAATTACTAGCATTGCAATAAAATAGGTTTTGCTTTTAAAACAAGCTTGTAATTAATTACGTTTGACGAAGAAGCCTGGGTCAGAACAGTCAGAACTTTAGACCAAGTTGTAAATAGCTTTGAGGTGTCCGTTGTAACTACCATAAATGTCACCAAGGGATTGTTTGTTAAGTGAAGAGTACCTGTACAGGTCAGGAATTACACAACCTCCCTGAGGAAGGTTTGAAAATTTTCGAAAGGATGACATGGGCTAACAAGGTTGGGACATCCAATTTTGTAAAAAGAGAAAAGGTTTCCCCTGTTCAGTCATATCCAATTTTATGGGATCATGCTCTTTTCCATCTCTTAGCCGAGGGAGCCAACATCATCGGAAGACATTTCTGTGTATAGCATGGCTATAGGCTGAAGGCGCACAAAACACCGTTACCTTCCCACCAAAGGGGTACCTATTTATCCATCACATTTGCATGCTTTCGAACTGCTAGGTTGGCAGGAGCTGGAGCAAGTAACGGGAACTCACCCTGTCACATGGTGCTTGGGTCTTGAACTTCCAACCTTCAGGTCCACAAGCTCAGTGTCTTAACTACTAGGTCATCAAATCCCACCCACCCACCCCATCCATGATGGGGAGAACATACTATTCTTACCCCCATTGCTTGAAGATGCCCAATCAATATCAGCAGAGTTTGAGAGCAGGATTTTCCCACCAAGCTTTGGGTATCTGTTACCTTCTCTAGGCACAGCGTAGACGTTCTGCCCTTTCTCTACATCCTTTTCCTTGAAGGCTACTTCTAACCTCTCCTTCCTTCCTCTCTTCTCCAGCCCACTTGATTTCCAAGGGAGGCAAAGACCTCTCGCTGGGGAACTACACACCGACATGGCGCTTGCAACGCAAACTCACCCACATGGCCTTCCAGCGTTGCCTGCGAGGAGACATGGAGAAGATCGTGCAGGATCAGGCTCAACACCTCTCCAAGGTGACCTCGAAAAGGGAAGAGGAAGTCAGGATGCATTTTCCTCTGCTTGATATGTGCAACTGAAAGAAAGATTTAACCCAAAATTTAAAAACGCATTTTTACACACACACACACACACACACACACACACACAATGCTTAAGTAACTCTTCAGATAGGCAAAAGCCATTGAAAATGTATTTGAGAGTATCTGCATTAAGAGAAAGTGAAAGAAAACGATGTATCAGTTTAAGGAAAAACTCTGTATGTTAAAAAGGATGTTTATAAAAGAGAAAAAAATTCTCTAAGGGTAGTTTGGGTGGTAGGGAGCTAAATGCAATGTTGAAGTTTAAAGCCTGTATATTAAGAAGTCAAAGAATAAGATGGATTAGAAAGGTTTTTTTTTAATGGTTTTTTGTGTTTTAAAAAAGTTTGGTACTTTGAAGGAAAGAGGGTTAAAAAAAGGAAAGGTTTTTTTTTCCCCTCTCTCTTTTTCTTTCGGTAAAACCAAAGAATTTGAAAGAATACGATGAATTTTGTAAATAAAAATGGTGACATCTCACAAAGATTACTAGGTACAAATAGAAATACATATTGTTTCCATAGCAAGGAAGATAAAGCAGGAACGGTTAAATTGATTATTTAAAGAAGAAAATATGTTTTTATTTGGATATCCCTTCTGGAATTTGTGCTTGTGAAGAAAAAAAATATGAAACTTTGATCTTGGTTTTGTTGATTAGAAAGATGTGGTGTTATAGAAATAGCTAGATATATATTAATGTGTAAAAGCAAAAAGTTGTGGTTGGAATGTGTTCATTTTGTACTGTGCTAAGAAGAGCTAGAAGTCAATGTCCCCCTTTTCTTTCTTTTTTCTCTTTCCCCTTGTATCTTACACCCCCTTTTCCCCACTCTTTTTCCCTCCCTTAATTTCCTAGTTTCTTTTCTTCTTTGTATTTTATATAATAAAAAAATAAAAACGATAGAGAAGATAGAAAAGAAAAGGAGAGAGGCCAGGGGTGGGATTCAAATTTTTTAACAACCGGTTCTGTGGCCATGGCTTAAGTTGGTGGGCGTGGCTTGGTGGTCATGTGACTGGATGGACGTGGCTTGATGGTCATGTTTTTGGCTGGGTGTGGCCAACTCAATATCACTCCCATACAGGCACGCATCTCCTCGCCTGGTCTCTCAGGACCGTGGGGATGCTGCAACTGTCGTAAGTGTGAAAAATGGTTATAAGTCACTTTCTTCAGTGCCATTGTAACTTTGAATGGTCACTCCACACAAGCAAAGAACTAGCAAAGGAGGGGAAAAAAAACTCCAGAGAAGTTCCTGAGACAGGAAGTCTAGTCCTGCCAAGGATGTAATAAGGGTCAACGGAGAGGCAGTTTCTGTAAGCAACACCAGAATGTTTCCTTCCTGCCTTCCTTACAGGATTAGGCCAGTAATTTCTTCTAACAACCGGTTCTCCGAACTGCTTAGAATGTTAACAACCGGTTCTAGCGAATAGGTGCGAACTGGTAGAATCCCACCCCTGAGAGAGGGTGTACAAGCATCTAGAAGCTGAGGTTGAAGATGCTGATGTAGAATCTACTTTTTATTTTTTTAAAAAAATGGAGAAAGGGTGTAAAAATTCATTCATTCTCATTTTTTTGCACGTAATATACATGCTGTGACCATACGTCCTTAATTATGCAGACAGTCCTTGCTTAGCCAGAGATTGTTTTGCAACATTTGAAGTTACAATGGCCACAGAATGGGTGCTTTGGGGGTGTAGATAATTTCCCCCCCTGCCTGTCATGTAACTCCATGTAAGGCAGGTCAGCCTTATTGCTTGCCGTGCTATTCTGTCAGGTTAGATCTGCAACCCGGGGTGGCTCTCAAGAGTTATATAAAACAAAAGGTCACAGAAACATTAAAAACAACAAGCAACCAAAACCAGAAACAAAGCGACCCATCTCCCTTGATCCAACCAGCCAGGTTACCTTCCCACTTGGTGTTTAACCTGTCTCACGCTTGAGGGAAGGTGCAGTGACGTATGGTTTTTCGAAAAGGGCAGTGTCAGGATTCCGGCGGTTACCCCCAATTTAAATCATTTTTTGAGCCAAACTTCCAAAACCTCAAAAGGATTTATTGGGAGTTCAACTGTCCAGCATTGCTTAGGTGTAGCCGACTCTGAGGCACATCATTCCTTGTCACCCTTGATTTTCCCCCAGCCCCTGGGTGTATCATAATTCATATTCTCCAATGGGATGCGTCCATAGCCAAGAGTCATCAATCATGCTCACCAGTTAGAATTTTGCACGGCAGAAACTTCGGTCACCTGGTTACTATTTTTGAGAACATTTGTGGAATGCAGTTTTGGTTTGCAAGCTGCTACATTGCTCCCCACTCCCTTTCTGCTGGCAACTCTAAAAAGACCATACAAATATTTTATGAGTTGACAGGTGGGAGCCTGCTGGGTGACATTGACGGAGATATAAATATGTGCATGTGTGTGATCTAAGCCAACGTTTCCGGCTTTGCAGACCCGTGGGAGGCGGGGAGAGTGGGATGGTTCCTCGCAAGCGGACAGCAAGCACGCGCAGTTTCATTTGCGCGAGCTGCAAACACAAGCACCTGCCACTCACTTAAATGGAGCACAGGCGCGCGCACTCGCCTGCTGGTCACGCAAGCGACAATGTGAACGCTCGCCGGCAGTTTCCGCAGCTTGGTTGCAAACCCCTCATGGCGCACTAGTGTGCCTTGGCCCACAGGTTGGGGGACCCTTGATCTAAGGCAGGAGTCGCCAACCTTTTGGACCTGAGGGACCACCAAACTCATAATTTTAAATCCTGTGGACCACTAATATGAATTTTGATGCTTGCTGTGACATTGGTGGGAAAGTGGGTCACATATTCCAGAACTGTAATATTCACAGGACTGGCCCTTTGGTCATCCAAGAGCAGCTGCTCCTCCACCCAGGTATACTGGCCTGCTTTGAACTGGAAGAGCTGCTCCGGGGTGACCAAAGGGCCAGTCTTGTGACTACTGCAGCTCTGGAATATGGCACCGACTTTCCCACCCATGTCAGCAAGCCACCCAGGGGCAGATTTTCCTCCCTCACCATTGGTCTTACCTACCTCACATGGCTCTACTTAAGGCAAGGTTTGTGCTCGGCCGAAGGATGGGGGCCGGCAGGTGGGCGGGCCATGTGGGTGGCGCAGCCTTGTGTTCCTGCGCAGCCTGGATTAATTGCTTTGGGGTGTGTGTGCTTTGTGGGGGACATTTCTCTACGCACCACCCAAATTTTATCGTGGACGACTGGTGGTCCCTGGCCCACCAGTTGGCGACCACTGATTTAAGGCATATTTCTCTCTTGCGATTCTTCAACAGGTTTTCCACAGTTACAATGGACAGCCTGTGGATGTGGCACAGGTCTTTTCTCTGCATGCTTGTGCAGTCATCTCCAACTTGATATTTGGGGCTGCGGTGAGTCTTCCGACCTGCTGTGTAATTGCTCTGCTTTCCCGCGGATTGTCTTCTCCAAGTTACCTCTGTCTTTTCATCCATCATAGGACATTTCCGCCATCAAAGAAATGCATAACTGTATGATCGAGCTGGTTGAAAATTGGAGTTCTGCTTCCATCCAGATTCTGGATTTTCTTCCCATCTTCAGGGTGAGACCTGGTTAGAGGGCTTTGTGTGTGTGTGTGTGGGTGGGTGGGTGCCTTCAGGACAGGCTTGCAGAACTAAAACTGACATGCAACATTTTAGATCTGAGCCAGAGGCATTTCCTGGGAAAGAGTAAAAAAAAATGTCAAGGTGCTACCCCAAGCATAGGGGTATGTCCACGTAACAGATAACAGATAACCAGACTTGGAAGAAACCTTGTAGGTCATGTAGTAGTCCAACCCCCCACCCAAGCAGGAGACCCTACACCATTTCTGACAAATGGCAGTCCAATCTCTTCTTGAAAGTCTCAAGTGATGGCGCTCCCACAACTTCCGAAGGCAACTTCTGTTCCATTGGTTGGTTGTTCTCACTGTCAGAAAGTTTCTCCTTATTTCCAGGTTAAATCTCTCCTTGTTCAGTTTCCATCCATTATTCCTTGTCTGGCCTACAGGCACTTTAGAAAATAGCTTGACCCCTTCCTCTCTGTGGCAGCCCCTCAAATATTGGAAGACCGCTATCCTGTCTCCCCTGGTCCTTCTCTTCACTAGACCAACCATGCTCCGTTCTTGTAACCGTTCTTCAGTCCCCTAATCATCCTGGTTGCTCTTCTCTGCACTTTTTCTAGTATCTCAACATCTTTTTTATAGTGTGGTGACCAAAACTGGGTGCAGTACCCTAGGTGTGGTCTTACTAAGGCTTTATAGAGTGGTATTAATACCTCACTTGATACCTCACGTATAAAAAGAGGAAGGGTTGTAATCATGAAATCACAACCACAATCTACTTTATCGACCTTCCCATGGATGATGTGACTGACAGACAGATAGGAAGATCACAGGTGTTTTTAAAAAAATATTTGCAAGTAATAAACTTGGTCTAAATGAGCTTAGTACAGTATTTTTCAACCTTAGCCACTGTAAGATGGTTGGGGAAATCTGAGAGTTGAAGTCCAGACAACTGAAAGTGACCAACGTTGAGAAAGAGAGGATTAATATATCAGGCTGGCCTTGGACAGATTTGCATTTAACTCCACATGTTTGGGATGGTCAACAAATGGTAGATTGCTGATGTTGCTCAAGGTTTTGCCTTCTTAATTTTCTGACGGACAATCAGAACAGATATCCACTCTTTCTGTTTTTGTCTCTGTCTCTATCTAAATGAATGCATGCATGCACAGGGGTTTTGTTCATGATAAAATGTTCTACTTTTTGATACCATAGACTTCCATTATCTGTAGCAAACATGGGCCGGCAGGAAGTTAAATGTTTCATAAGTTTCCATCACAAGTGAAAGAAACTAGACTGAGAAGGATATCTTACTAGATTGCACTTCTGATGCTGATATATC